TCGACAGCCACCCAAGCAGCCGGTCCGATCTCCAGCGCATGAATCCGCGGACACGGGTATAGAAAGCGCAACGCCAATCCACCAAGTACAGACCCTACCGAAGCAAGCCCACACGGACCAGACACTCCTCTAGGAAGAATAAGGCCGATGCGATCCCATGAACGTGACTGGCAAAAAGACATCGATTAGTAGTATGCAGTCAGACCGGGAACGGGAAAAGGACGGGGGGGTATCGCCCCGATCTCCGGTAATCGTGTACCGTAGTACATGCCCCGATGTCCTAAATCATCTAGATGAGAATGAGAATTTGTTGCAAACGAAAAAAGGGGAACCACTGAAAGGATGAGAAGACGACGTACTTTCACAACGAGTCAATGACACTAAGCTCGCGGAAGCGGCACGCGCCTCGGATACATTCCGTTGGCGTCTTAGGTTGGAGCACTCTAGGCCAGGCAAAATTCAATGTCGGTGTTAAGCTTTAGAGCTAAGATTCATGTGCTCGGAGGAGTCGGAGACAGTGCACTCATTGAGGAATGGCTCTTCGGATTTAGCTTTCTGGGAGGAGACTAGCCTGGATGTGGTATGATTCCAGGAACGATATCGGCGGGTAGCCTAAGGGGAAAATGAGATCCCGGGTATGAGATTAAAATTGCTAGGTGCTGGGTTTACAGGATCATACTCGATGGATGGGTTGTTGTTACATGGATGGTGTGTAGTTGATACAGCCGATTGTTAGAGAGTGTGATTTGAGTTTGTACAAAGTAGATATTGTGGAGGGTTCAGGTATTAAGGGTCAAGCGGAAGGTCTATCTATATATATAATCAAGGTATAGTACGCAGCTATATTTCAAATGCACGGGATCGGACATCGGCCCCCAGATCTGTCTATATGCGCGGCGGATATAGTCATTACATATATTCATTAGTGATTTCGAAATGATATCTCGCATTGACGAGCGGGCGCTACAGGGATACCATGAAGCTATTTGACTCTAACCCACGCCGTTAACGCCATCTTATTGCCCTACATTGAAGGAGACAGCGACGCACACGCTAGCGGCCGCGGTTCGCCAGTTAGAGGGCTTACGGCCGACACTAACCGGGGTGACTCCTTGCTGTCACGGTCCACGGAAGTCTCTCCATGCGGATTACCCACCGCGTCGATGGAAAAGCCTCTTCCCTTGTGCAATTTCAATGAGAGGGAAACCCCAAATCAGACTAGGTAATGAATGCTACGCGACCACGCAACAATCCCTGCATCTGCCGATAGGCCACCTTCGCGTGCACCGTACTCCGTATTGTTGAAGGTATTGATGGTACTGTACTATGTGCGATACAGTAGTTGGATAGCATGCAGTGTCCAAAATCTTCCACCAACCGCCTAGTCAGCCCAATCACAGCTACCCCGAATCTAAGGTACAGAATGACTGATCTATCGGCCAGCCCGCTCAGAAGAAGAATTTAGATCCAGTGCCAGCGGTTCGGGTCTAGTTCTGTTCGTTCATCGGCTCGGCAAAGTACCCGCTGACCAACGGAGCGGAAAGAGAGGAAATCCTCCAGTGAAAGAAAAAACAGCTCTGACATCCTCCATGATTAGAGGTTCATTTCAGCTGAGGGAGGGGAACCATGACTCAATTGAATGGAACTGATAGGACGGACCAGGTGCTATGCACACGAATGAGAACCTCGGGTCTTCGAGTTTGCTCGGGAACCCGAGCCGAAGAGGGCACAGGATTGTGGTGGTGGTGCAGTGGTCAAACCGTTCAAACCTGCGCGCCCGCCAAGCCTGATGAGAGAGTTTTCCTCGGGAAAAGAAGCAAGAAAGAAAATTCATCTCCAAGGCTAAAACGGGGACTTGGAGGAGGTTTAGATGGATCTTAAGGCGGGTCCAGATGTTTTTTCTTCCTCTTCTGCTCGTAGAAGTGGGCAGTTTGGAATGGCTGGGGGAAGGATCCATATCAAGAACTCGATCATGGCAAGGCCAGCCAACGCCTTCATGCACTCCGCAAAGTGTCCTTTCAAGCGTGAGTCGAGAAATCCCAGTGTTCCGCGGCATCAAGAACATGACAACGTCTGCAGTTCTATCCTGGTGCCTGGTTTAATTGGGGATTGCATTAGTAGCTCTTGGTACGGCATATCCGGGCCCTGATGCCTTTTTTCCCTCCCTTCATGCTTGCTCTTTTTAGAATGGCAGCTCCGACAGCAAGCAAGCTCGCACCAATGGTAAAACGAGGCGCCGCTACCGAAGTTTCGGTTGCCTTGGGTGGGCTTGGCTTTGCTGGATACAATGGATAATTCCCGCAAGGCGTTTCTAACACCGGTCGTATACAAGCGCCGCGAAAGGGAAGGAAGAGGCTTTGTTTGGTTCATCGGAAAATAATTAAAACTTCGCGTTCTGGTGTACGTAGAAGCAGTGATGAACACCAAATTCAAGCACGGGTGGTGAGCTATTCAATTTAGGTAACATCCTCGACTGATGTCTTATGCACAATTGCACATCCTGAGCGGAGAGGAATGATCGACGCGACTCATGACGGTGGCCCTGAAAGGGTTCCCCATACTTAGATTAAAAGAGGCGAAGGGATGATGCTGGGGAGCATCAGAATTACCAGGCGTCTCAGAGGGCCGGCAGGTGACAGAAGTTGACAGTTTCGACTCTCGAGTCATCATTACGCTGGTCTGGGCAATTGGAGGCAAAAAAGCTAGGAAGATTACGGGAGGCCGGAGGCAGCGGAGTGGGGTTGTTTTTCTTGCACCGGAAGCTGGTGGAGTTGCGAAGTTCGTGGAGATCCACATGTTAATGCTCGACAGTACGGGTACAGTGCGGTACCTGAATTGCATGGTTGATGACAGTTTGAAGACTTACAGAGCACGATAGAGACGCCAAAGCTACCAGAGAGGAGGAGGTACAAAGCTATGGTCCGGATTGATGAATTGGTTCGGAATGCTATACTCATAGGGGACAGACCTCCAGACGCTAGATGCCGCTGAGCAGGGGACGGAAATTGCCATATTGCAACATCTAACCAACTCCAAGACCTGTCCCTTCCAAGCTGACTATGTCGACATCCCTATAGGAGATCGCGGTCGAGGTGCATCCAAAACCTCCTTTGTCTTGCTCATCTGCTTTGGTGCAAAAAATCGCCATCTCTGGGTTAAATTAATCGCAGGAGGGCGAACTAAGTTAATGTCTAGAAGGGACAATGCAGTTATTTAGTCGTGGCCTTGGAGCTGAGCTGGCAGCAATCTAATTACCCTTGCGCTAAACACTGGTATCAGGCAATGGTTGACCCCGGGCAATATCTCTGCCTGGACGGGTGAGGTCGCAGTACAACTAAATTCCTAAGTTCTTATCTCATGCTGCAGGCGACCTATCACCAAGAAGCGTGGCGAGCTGCGAAATGAACCGCCACGTTCCAATCAAGCAGCGTCGATGAGCCCGGGGGTGAATGCGCCAAGTCGCACGCATCTCTTGGTGCTATTGCTTGTCTGAAGCTTCGCTATCTGATAACGATGGATGACGGCGATCCCCGCGACCTGTCACATAGAAAGGCCGCAAGCACGTAGGTTCCCGAAGACGTGGGGTAATCGCAGAGTCTGGGGAAGAGATAGGATGGTGCCGCGAGGGCCATGCACTGGAACGGGAGGACTGGAGAATGCTGGACACCCTCAATGAGGGGGTTTGCCCACTACTCCAGATCCCTGTCGCAAACGCATGGAGCCGCGGGCATAGTCTGTCGACGGACATGTCTAGTCTTACTAGCACAAGCCATGCGTTGGGCCAGCGTATTATTGTATTGCAGAAGACCATTAGTCAAGTCACCGAGGATGAGTGCGTGAGGGAGTGGCAAGAATAACCACCTAGTAGAGTAGTCAAGACTCATCGGCGATGGCCGAATACTGAGAAGCATGATATCAGCATGAAGCAGATGCTCATCATGTCTGAGGTAGGAGAAGATAAAGATAGAGAGGGAAGGCTGATATGGATAGAGTGCAACAGATAAGGACTGGAGGGCAATTTGGCAGCGAGAGGAAGGACCGACTTCATGGAGCCCAGGGTTTGACCACCCTTTCCATGAGTCTTTCCATCCTCCTCTCTCATCTAGACCTGACGGTACCTGACCTGTATGTACGAACAAGCAACTAACACCAATACATAACGGACTGTTATCATTATCAAATCACTCAGGGTTAGAGCCCAGATAGTGTGCCTTATTGCCTATCACCAGACGAGGTCTTATCAAGGGGTGGAACTCATTGCCACAGACCCCACTGTGTAGCAGAGTTTTGCGGGCCAATCCCGCCACGAGGGCTGTTGAATTCTGTGATCCATGTGGTGCTTAAGTCAACCTTTCATCCAATGACAGAATTTGTGGCTGAGCATTACACGGCATGATTGGGACAGGGCATAAGCTTGTGCGCACTAGGGCTCAACAAGACCCATTTGGTCTGGTGGGGCACTACTACACTGGGCATTTCCACCTCTTCTCGAAACCGGTGCACCGTTTCCATACCACGGACTCTCACTTGCAACACGCGACACTGAACCTGAATTTTTCCTCTTCTTTTTTTTTTTTCCCCTAATCTTTTTTCTCCCGTTTCTGTTTTGAGTTACGCGGTCGCGGCGGTTTTCCGACTCGGAAGCGATCATTACATCGATCTGGATCCGGTGGGCCTTCGCTCGTCTCGGACTGGTGTGGGCGTAACTGTGTGTGTGTGTGTGTGTGGTGGGTAAGAAATTATTCGCCATGCCTCCGCAGGAAATCACTTATTAGACGCTCTAATCCCACCCCTCCAACAGAGAAAGAAAGAAAAAAGAAAGAAAGATGTGGTCGTCGTTTCGTCTTTCCTCGTCCCTCCCCCTCCCCCCTTGAGTTTATACTCAATACTCGAGCTTTTCAAGCTCTTGTATATACCAATCCCCATCAACTTCGAGTCTTTAGTACTCAATCCATTCAATCCAACAATCTTACACGCCGTTGAGATATACGCGTAACATCATGTTCGGTGGTATCGACTCGGAACGGGACCTTGAAAAGGCTCCCCAGGTGGCCAAGGCGCCTATGGATGACAGCAGCGATGGCGCTGTCCCTGGGGAAAGCTTCATGTACGGCAACTCGGTCTACGCAAAGCTTCAGCGGCTGGCTGGGAAGTTCAACATTGAACAACGAGGTGTCGAGCGTGTCCCCGAGAACGAACGGACGGATACCTCGTACTTCAACATCAGCAGCATGGTGTGTACCTAGTTTACTGCATTATGCTTTTGTCTTGCTGGCTCTCCGCCGGTGCTCACAAGACCGCCTCCCAAACTGACCCCTCGCAGTGGCTGGCAGCCAACATGGTGGTTAGTTCGTTCGCTATCGGTATTCTGGGACCTGAGAGCTTCGGACTTGGCTTTGTCGACTCCATCCTCGTCTGCCTCTTCTTCAACCTGATCGGTGTCTTGACTGTCTGCTGGTTCTCTTGCTTCGGCCCTGCTTTTGGTCTCCGTCAGATGGTCCTAACCAGATTCTGGTTCGGGTACTGGCCGACAAGATTCAGTAAGAACCCCTCGCCTCTGATCTCCAAACATGGCGTGCTGACCCAATTGCCGTGCAGTCGCTCTTCTGAATGTCTTGTCCTGCCTGGGTTGGTCTGCGGCCAACTCCATCGTCGGCGCCCAATTGCTCAATGCAGTCAACAGTGACGTCCCTGGTTTTGCAGGCATTTTGATCATCGCCGTCTGCACCCTCTTCGTCACTTTCGCCGGATACAAGGTCGTTCACTTGTATGAGTTCTACAGCTGGATCCCAACCTTCATCGTCTTCATGATTGTCTTCGGCATGTTTGCTCACTCTGGAGATTTCTGGAACATTCCCATGGGAACTGGCGCTGCTGAGATTGGCTCTGTCCTGTCATACGGTGCAACTGTCTATGGTTTCGCTACCGGATGGACCAGTTATGCTGCTGATTATACCGTTTATCAGCCCTCGGACCGCAGCCGCCGTAAGGTTTTCCTGGCTGCTTTTGGTGGCTTGATCCCTCCTCTCCTCTTCACCCAATTCTTGGGCATTGCTGTCGCTACTGCTGCCATGGTCAACGATGGAAACAACAAGTACGCTACTGGTTATGCGCAATCCGGAAACGGAGGTATCATCTGGGCTATCGTGGAACCTCTCGGCGGTTTCGGCAAGTTCTGTCTGGTCATCCTCGCCCTCTCCATCATCGCCAACAACTGCCCCAACATTTACTCCGTCTCTCTCACTCTTCAGGTCCTGAGTCACCAGACTCAGAGAGTCCCTCGGTTCATCTGGGTGTTCCTGGCCTCGTGCGTCTCGGTGGCCGTTGCTATCCCTGGATACTCCCACTTCGAGGAAGTCCTTGAGAACCTGATGGACTTCATCGCCTATTGGCTGGCCATCTACTCCGGTATCGCTATCGCCGACCACTTCATCGTTCGTCGTGGCTTCGGTGGATACCGCCCTGAGCACTACGACAAGCCTGAGAAGCTGCCCTACGGCTTCGCGGCTTGCATCTCTTTCGCCTTCGGCGTCGTCGGCATGGTCACCGGTATGAGTGAGACCTGGTTCGTTGGACCCATCGCCAAGCGCTCGCATGGCGGTGATATCGGTTTCGAACTGGCCATCTTGTTTGCGTTCGTCGTGCATGCTATCGTCAGACCTATCGAGCTGAAAAAGTTCGGTCGGTAAATGCGTGCAACTTTCTTACTGTCTTTTTATATACAACAATTTGGGAATGGGTTTTCTTGGGAATAGGTTATCGTCATTTTTTTTTTCATGTCTGTTATGAGGAATCAGCTTGTCTATGGTGGTTCCCAAGGGGAACCAGACGGCTTCCGTCCTGCTAGCTGGTATTTTGTACATAGATATTATTGTTGATTCTAATAACTCCCGTGCAGATGAGCCGGGATGTCGAATACGAATGAAGTCGTCATGAAAGTTCCTGCTCCGAGACTGAATTTACCTAATGTTGTTATCATTGTCTAGCAATGTTGTTCCTGGCACATGATGTGTAGACACCGATTGTCGCTTTCCAACTCGGATCACTGGGCGAAGCAACCCACAGTCGGAACATCTAGATCCATGGTGAGTTGCACTGAGTACGCTCCAGATCCGATCGAAGTTTGCGAATGGTAGAACATCAACGACGACTACTTGACCGGTATGCCTCTTCCAGGCCGTGCAGGATGATCTCATATGGTGGTCGATATTGGACTGTTTCTCCCTGTGCCTTTGTCTCCACGATGAACCTTTGATTTGTCATTGTGACTGGGATAGAGCCAGCATAGTCCATCATTAGGCAGTGCGAAATGTGAAATATCTTGAGTTGGCGATAGAAGCATCTTCTTGAACATCTGCAATGGCAATGCATTGATCGTAGATGGCTGCTCACGGAGTCCGCAGTGCGCATGTCCCCATAAACCACAGCCATGCCAGATATGTCAACGAGTCAAGACCTTTCCTGATAAGACAAGTCCATTAATTTTTGAGCTTTTCATATACCGCCCACCACGTACTGGTCCCTTCAAAGCTCGTCAGCTTTTGACACGTCTGCAGCATTACTCTAGTATACCGTCGAGGCTGGCTGTAGTTGCTTCACCAGGACATGTCTATCTGAAATTATAGCCAATCGCGACTAAACTAAGCTAAGAAATAACTCACAGTAGGAGCAGTCAAACTGATGTTCAATTGTTCTAGAAAAGGAGTATCTTGTGTTGATCAACTCATACAACGGTTCGTATGCTTCCCCTCTCCCAAGCGACATATCTCACGTGACCACCGACAAGCACCAGCCACGGCAGGCTGCGCCACGAGCAAATTGCCGCGCCGCGAACAAATCCACAACGGATTCATTCGCCTTTCATTGTGAAATCCAGCAAAACTAGCAACCCAAGTGGCATACACAACCCCCTCCTTCTTCATCACACATACCACCCACAATGTCTAAGCTAGGAAAGTAAGCAATTTCGAAACCCCCAGCCTCATTTTCTCTCAACGTCAAAGCGCACCTCTTTACCCCTCCGAATCTATTCTCTAACCATATTTTTTTTCTCTCCAGCCGCGCCGACTGGGCCGACGATGAGGAGTTTGACGACCCCTCCGCCCTCCCCGCACAGCAGATCACGACGAACAAAGATGGCACCAAGACCGTGGTCTCGTACCGCTTCAACGACGAGGGCAAGAAAGTGAAGGTCACCCGCCGCATCAAGACCACCGTGGTGCGGGAACACGTCAACCCCCAGGTCGCCGAGCGCCGCAGCTGGGCCAAGTTCGGCCTGGAGCAGGGCCACGCCCCCGGGCCCTCCTTCGACACCACCTCGGTCGGCGAGAACATCGCCTTCCGCCCCAGCATCAACTGGAAGATCCAGGCCCAGGAGGAGGAGAAGAACCCGGAGAAGGGCAGCATGAAGGACCAGCTCAAGGACAAGAAGGTCAAGTGCCGTATCTGCAGCGGCGAGCACTTCACCGCGCGCTGTCCCTTCAAGGACACCATGGCCCCCGTCGACGAGCCCGCCGGCGGTGCCGGTGGCGTCGAGGGCGGCGCCGACGAGGGGGCCGCCGCCGCCGGCGGCTTGGGCGCTACCTCCGGCAGCTACGTGCCTCCTCATCTACGGAAGGGTGCCGCCGGCGGCGGCGAGCGCATGGCTGGCAAGTTCGAGAAGGACGATCTGGCGACTTTGCGAGTTACGAACGTAAGTTGTGTGTTTTGGCCTTGCTGCTTTACTACTTCCCCCCCCCCCCCCATCTTCCTCTTTCTGCGGGGCTGGGTGGGGAAACCTGTGTGTGTGTGTGGTGGTGTATGGTATAGTGTCTCAGTGTGTTGGCGATGAGATGCATACGCATACACACCTACTCAAACCCTCTAAGGGAGTTCTCACCTCCCGCGGAAGAGAAGAAGCAGGGGAAAGGGGGGGAGCTGTTCGCACCTCATTTTCAAAACCCCCCAAAACTAACAACTGCAATAGGTCAGCGAGTTGGCAGAGGAAGGCGAGTTGCGGGATCTGTTCGAACGCTTCGGTCGTGTCACCAGAGTCTTCTTGGCCAGAGACCGGGAGACCCAGAGAGCCAAGGGTTTCGCCTTCATCAGCTTCGCGGACCGCAGCGATGCTGCCCGTGCCTGCGAGAAAATGGATGGCTGTAAGCTTTCTGTCTCTGCTTCCCTCGTCGAACGAAAACTAACCTTCTACCCTCCTACACAGTCGGTTACCGCCACCTTATTCTGCGCGTCGAGTTCGCCAAGCGGGCTACTTAGATTCCTTCCACCTCGTTATTTCATCCTCTAAACTTTCGCACCATCCCCCTTTCAAACTCATTCCCATCTTATTTCCGGTTCACGACACCTTGGCCGCTTTCCGTCAAGAAGCGGGTTTCCTTCATGATGACTTCAAGGATCCCTCAGCTACTACTTCTTTTTCTTTGTATTGTATGATCCGATCGATAATGATGAATACTGAAAAAGGATTCCAAAGTGTCGATTTTTCTCTGCTAAGCTTTCTTGCGTACATATATTCATTTGTGTTGTTGTGTGCGCACATTTGGTCGAGGTCTTGACAAAAAGCAAGGGAAACAAGAAAAAAAAAAGCAAGCAGTCGTCTCTTCTTCCAGTCATTCTTCTTCCCAATCCTCCTCCTCTTCGTCCGCTTTCTTGATATCTTTGCATGGTTTCATGTCATGGGGTTTGGTTTGCATAATCTCCTTGTGACTGGCCAGTCGGCTGGCTTGCTTGCTTCCTTGCTTGATGGTCTTCTTCCCCCCCCCGCTTAGCTTGGTTGAGTTCTCTTCCTTTTTTTTTTCGTTGGATGGTTCGAAGGAGGCGAGGTTTTGCTTTGCATAAAGAAAAGTGCTCTTTTTGACTGGGTTCTGAGACGAGATCACGTTGCATTCAGGGTTAGCGTGGGCTTGTAGGCATTTCCCAATGATAGAAAGTCTGGTTCGACGTGGCTCTTATGATCATGTGGACGTAGGAGTAGACAGTCGCATGCTGGGAAAGGGGAGGGGGGAGGGGGCAAGAAGTCCCTATCCCTCCTACCAACCTCCGCAAATGCCTCTCTGGCAGGACTGTTAGTCTTCGTAGATGCATTCATTCCCCTCCTCCTCGGCCTCACCCCCGGTCCACTGTGCAGCAGTTGCTTATGGGACTTTGTCCGATGAGTCATTTTACATCATTGCCAACTGTTCTTCCACTACGCCCATGAAGATTTCTGAAAAGGATCCGTGGACGGGGCCAGAAAGGGGGAGGGGGAGGGGCGAATCTAGCCCAGTAATCGGTCAGAAGGGCTGGGAGAATGGTTATAGGCCCAGACAGTCAAAGGACGTGGCGGATGGGCGTTGACAGGCTGCGGCGAACAGACTATTGAAGTCAGTGTGTCAAGGATATGCTTGCAGTATACAAGCTTCTGTCAGGCTGAGAAATGGCCTGCGGGTTAGGTCGGATGGCAAAGAAGGATCAATAAAACTCAGGGACTTCTGAGATTAGCGCTGCCCCCTCCCTCATCCGCTTCACGCACGCCAACCCGCTATGTCTCTGCAAGAATCCCTTGTAATCACGGCACTCTGGTGGATGCCGCAGGATAAGGCGCTCCTCAGTGGCAAGATTGGGGTTATGCCACGTCTGAATTGGTGGATCTTCACGCGCAGGAGTGTAAGCATGACCAGACGAACAAGTATCATTATCAGTGCATGATGACCTCCGCCTAAGCCATCTGCCACTCAGATAAGCCAATGCCTCTCTTCTGGGGCGAGGCGTCACGCCAAATCAGGATGATGGAGATGTATAGAATATACCTTCGCAATTGCACCAATGGCTATTGCTCGGAAGGTATGTGGATGGTGTGCTGACTCCGTCCGACATTGGTTACATTGCATGGACACGGTGTTGGATAGTTCTGTCAACAATGGTCTTGTGTATCGCCCTGCGAGTAATTCCGTCAACTGTTGTCATGCTCTCCTCCTGAACACACTTGCGAGCTCCCATCTGTGTCACCCACGAGAGACAAATGAGCTGGCGCTGACCATTCACTGGAAGAGCCGATTCCCCACGGGATTCAGCATATCCGTCTCGCCAAATGGGCGTCTTGCACGCCACTCTCATCAACGTCACCTACGCCAGCCTTACCCAATCAAGTATAACGACCGTCCTATCCGGTTCGACTCGGTCGAAGAAGCAGATCCCATGGCTGAGGGCCAGCAAGCATCATACCTTCTCGGCTTTTTTCTGGTTCGTATTCCCTTGAGCAAATGCCTCGAAGGCGTCGATCAGCGTCGGTCCTGTGGCCCTGTTCGTTGCTGCTGAGACTCCAAGGCTATACTCTACCGCTCGAGCGTCCGATCGGATTGAGTGGACGGGCGTGATAGGGTGAATTCCCCGGCCAAACCTGGCGTCTTCTGCAGTATTTCCAGTTATGGGCCGGCACTTAGAGTTGGTGCTCGCGTTAACCTCGAAAGACAGTCTTCTCTGTGAGCGTAAAAAAAGACCCAGACTAACATTTCCAGGCAGCAATTGATCCTGATCCCGTCGAGTCACACAAACAAGCCAGATTTGATAGCAACCCGACCAACGAAGACAGCCACGAGGAATAAGGAATAACAGCACCAACTTGGGTTTCCGGTACAAATGCCGAATTACCTTGACAAGGTATTAGCCGCAGCATCGTTAGGTATGAGAAGAACGATTCGAATCAAAGAGGTTTGCCAGGCAATGCCAGGAGTGGGAACACAGCCAGGACAAAGCTGTAAAAAGGGGTTTCGTCTACACGCATTGGCTCCAGATGCGCGACATCCAAGAATGAGCAATAGTGACCTGATTCCTTTGATGTTTAGAGATCAGTGGCATCGACTCAAGGACACCCCAGTGTGCTGAGGTCACTATGTAGTTTAGCTCTTCAGTTGAACTGGGCAAATCACAAGTGGACCGGGAAGAACCGGTTTACCCTCGGACCCGACGCTCCGAGAGAAACTAACGATGCTCCTGCCTAGAACACGCGCGGTAGTAGCACCTGTGCTTCCGTCACGGTATATTTCCTCTGGTAATGAAGCTCAACCGCATATCAGCTCGACCACTGAAGAATGCTGCTACAGCTTGAATTGAGCTATAGAACCGGATACTCTCGGAAGGCTACTTCTGCCAGAACCGGCTGCCCGGTAAGAATGGTCCGATAGAAAGGCTAATATGCAGAGTGATGATTGTAATCCGCATAACAGCTCAGATAATAGAGCCAGGATCCTGTCAAGGATCCATCCAATTGTAAAGTCTATCGAGGATCCCGGAGATTAAAGCCGAATGTTCTGGACTCGCCTCAAGTGCAGCTGCTTCGAACGGCAAGACGACGGCCTGGCGGGGCTTTGTTGATAGTCCAAACCGTAATGTCGGCCGTCTGCAGCCCAAAACATGTCAGGACAGGCTTCTTTGCCCCAGCCTGGATTCGAAAATGTACTGTAATTAACCTGTGGTTGCACAGGAGGCAACATCGGGAACGTATCAGCCACTAGCACGGGTAAAAGTCAGCAGGCAAAAGATGGATCGCGCTCTAATTGTGAAGGACCAGAGCAGTGCATTGGTCAAAAAGGCACCAGTGGGCGCAATTTGGTAGCGAGTGCTACTCCTGAGACAGGTCCAACACAATCCCACCTAGGTTAGAGAAATGGGTTTTCAATAGAGCCTTGCTCGAACCTTAAAGTAGGAACGGCCATGAATGAACGGACCGCGTCCTCTATCCGAGTATTTCGGGACTGGACTCCAGTCGAATAAGAGAAAAGAGAACGAACAAAAGCCTTCGAAGACGGTATGTTATGTCCACCGGCCAACGTAATGATGACCCCGTTGGGACTTGCCTTTCTGATTCGCGAGCTGGTGCACTGGAAATTAGCTAGCAGCCCGATGAAGTCTTGGCCAAGTACTCCGTAATTGGAACAAATGCGAAGTTTTTTAAGGTTTGTTGCTTAGGTAGACACAGCCCTGTCAGCCATACTCTTGGTAAAGTACGGGGAGTAGCAGAGGAAGGAGATGTTCGGGGCGTCGTCGGTACCCGGCTTTTGTTCTATCGTTCCATCGTTCCATCGTTGCCAGGACCAACAGAGATCAATTCCTGCCTGCTCTAATGAAAAAAGATGACACCGCACTGGCGCTGACTATCATGATCAGCCATAAAAAGATGGAAAAATTGTGGAGGAGACGGACGACTGAATCGGTTGTTGGTCGTTGGTGCAATAATAACAATGGTTGTAAATAAGAAGGTACCCGCCAGCATGGCGCTAATCCCTTTCCAGAGATATCCTGCACGTGCCATGATCCCTCCCGGCACTAAGAGGATTTGCCCATGGCCCAGTCACCGAATTATTTGATAGAGTATTCCGTATAGACTAAGGTACGGCTGGGAGTACCGTACCTTACTACTCAGTAACTTCCAATTAGTACGGTCGGTCCTTCGGTTTAGCCTCCCACAACCGTTCAGTTCTTGCTTTTGTATCCGCGAACAGGATTGTGGAAAATGCATCCCTGCAATCACCAGGTCTAACTGTTCGTCCTGAAGATCTCAATGGATTTGTAAATTGGCATTGGCAGAGTTCTCGATTTCTCTCTATCAGCAGAGAGATCTCATTCTCAGTCTGAGACGCGCGTGAGATCATACCCGTATCTCCTTTCAACCATGGATCGATCCATCGACAGATCATTATTCCAATCAGCGGGCCCAGCCCTTCAAGTCAGTTTTAACCCTGGCTTGAAATGCAACGTCCTTCGCGTCCCAGTCTTGTCTTGAGTCTTTGACTCTTGACTCTCGAACCCCCTCCCCCCACCCCCTGTTCAAGGTTACTATGGGATTCGCGCCGCATCCCGCGGGCACATCCTGCACGACATCCATCCTCCACTAGGGACTGACTCTGTACCCAGAAATTACAGTCCTTCAATGACTGGCTTCGAGGGGAAAATCTCACTCGGACACTACCAATGATCTCTTCTTGGCGGCTTATTTCAGCACCGTGCATATCACATCTGGACCAACTAGCTTCCTGCAGGCCTGGCCGATCATCCAGCCACAGAAAACCTCTCCCATTAGGAGGAAAGAGGGGGAACGCGAGAGAGAAGAAGGAATAAGGAAACATTGACCAATATATTCAGATGGGAAAATAGAGAAAAGAAAAAGAAAAAAAGAAAAAAGTCCCCCACTCACGCAAACCTCATTCCTTTCCAGATCCAGTGAAGTCACTTAGGCTGTCTTACCTGGCAGTGGGCCTAATCGATTCTGGAAAACATGCTGTGCGCAGCACATGTACGCTCCACACCGAGAATCGGTAGGACTGGAAAGGGGTCGTTGTCGCTGAAGTGCATGCGATTCGGTCAAAATATCCACCCGAATCAAAAGAGGCATGTTAACCATGCTAATGCAGTTTATGCAGGCTGCATATCTGAAGTCATGGCTCTCTCAGGCTATGTCGGTGAGCGGACAACCACCACGGGTTATGGTATTCAAAATCGACCGTTGGATCGAAATCTGGCGATCGCCCTCTATTCATGCAAGAATCGCTGTTGCTCGTGCCTTGAGAATATTCGAAAATTGCGAGGGAAGTAATCGCAAAGACGCGACATCTCTTGAACATGGCTTCCCCCCCCCCCCCTTGGGACCATCTACCTGGCACGGTATGGCTAGATGGCGCACATCGACCCTTCGTCGACGACCCTAAGAGCTATTGGCTGACTGCATCTGCCCAAGCTCAGTAGTATTATCGGCAATCCCCATCATGGGACTGGGGTCTGCACGGATTCCCGGGGCAATGATCGCCGCGAATCGGTTCTAGTACCATCTTATTCGGTCTTGCTGCACTCTGCCGTTCGTCGGGTGTTCGCACACTAGGACAGCTGACTTCAACAGTAATGTTCTGTATGGAGTATAGAACAATTCACCAATCAAGCTGCCAGTCGAACTATGTTGAAGTTGGAGTTCATTCCATAATGAGTTTGTGCAGCGCTAAGTTTGTCTGGACTTGGGTCAGAGAGATGTCACATGGAAGCTGACCAATGTTGTGTGTCTCCAACGGTTTTTGACAGGGTCCAGCTTTTTTTTCGCCTTTTTCTTTTGCGTTTTTTAATCTTTCCTGCACTAGTTGGGATGAGACGTCAATCTTTCCCTCGAAGGTCGTTGCTCTGTTTCTGGTTGAGGGGTTTACTTTCTTTCCTTTTTCGTCCTTGAGTCGAAAAAGAAAAGAAATCGATGCGCATCAATTCGCGGATGAGAACGTGTCGAAGAGAGGGAGGTTGGAATTGAGGGCACACGCAAGACAGACAGACAGGAAGTATCAACAGAGAACAAGCCAGAGGAGCAAGGTCACCATTGAACAGCACAAGGCTTTTATCTCTCAACCTGCACACCAGGAATACATAAGCTTCTCCTCAAAGGCTAGGTGTACCCATTGTAATCCACTGTTCTTTATTCTTGATCCACGCAACAGTGAAGTTGGAACAAGGAAACTTTTTGGGCCCTGGCATGGTCTAGCTCAACAGCAAACTCGTGGCGAGGGTGGTATTTGTTCTCAAGCTTAAATGGGTAACCTGGAGCTTCAGGGCTTGTGCACAACGATCCTCTGCAGACCATTTCCGCCGCACATCTACCAGGGTCGCTCATTGGGTGCCGTAAAGGGGCCAGCCTAGGTAGACAACGGAGATTGAGTGCGCGCCTTGAGGGTGTGGACAGGAGGAGGAACCGTGAGCAAAGCATCTTCATCCAACATCCAAAAATCAATATCAAGCGAGCAGATCCCTCGCAACAACTATCGGTGCAGCCCTGCCCTTTCCTCTGGATTATTCGGCACTGGAAAACGGTCTCAACAAACCTCGACCTTCCGAGCCCTGCGTCGGGTCTTCTATTTAATCTCCCGAGGAGCAGGACTCTATTGTCTCCAGCAGCCGTCCTCTTGACGTGGACTACCGACTTTCTGGGACAACCGATCTACATATACATAGGGTTGCAGCTGAGAATGAAAACCTGCATCAACTGATGCAAGATTACTCTCCCTTTGCTGAGCTGAGCGCATTCCAGTAAGTCCCATCATCTCTGTTTTCCTGTTCTCTCGCATTGGGAGTCTCCGCGCCTCTTGTCTCCCCCCTCTCGTTTTTCTCCTTGGAAGTCGGCCTTGGAACTACGCTTCCCTTCGGAGCCGAGACAATGTCATTCCTGGTGATGCTTCTCATGGCCATAACATGAGTCATGGAGATGTCACTGGCTGCATGAAACCTGCAAGCTTTGGTGTCTTGGAAGACTTTCGTCAAGACCTGCTGGACATCTGCAGCGCGATGGCTAGCAACAGGGCTGTATTGGCTCCGTTCATGGTCTACGTCAATCTTCCTGTACCGTTCATAAACTTCCCAAAGGACTCCATGTCTTCTTAGTCACTGTCCTCGAGGGCATATGTGTGATGCTGCTTTCATGTTTCTTTCTTTTTTTCTCTCTCTCTCTTATTCTTCCTATTCATGCTGCTTATTGCTTCCAGCTCTTCCCAGCCCATTTCCTTTCCACTGGTCTGGTGCTTCTATTTCACAAACACAACCCCCCTTCATTTTATATTTCTTCGCAGGAAATTCAAACGACAGGCCTGCTTGATGGGTTTAGTCGTTTTCTTCGAGATTTCATTGCTCTATGCTTTCAGTTTCTCTGGAAATTGTCCCTAATAGATTAACCTAGCGCTGCTGCCTTGAAGCTAGGATCCTATTGCTCGACCAGGACGCTGAAGGCGGACAATATCTCCGGGTAAGAGCGACGACCTGTTCCAAACCGCGCGGTTGCAAGCCTTACGGGCAGGCCTCACTGACAGCGTCTATTAGCTAGGCTCACACGGCTCTAGCATACCCTGTTTAGTGTCATCCAGGCCTAGTGTTGACAGGGTCCTTTCGTCGCTGCTCAGCTTAGGCTGGCAATCAAAATTAAAGACGCCCCAGGCACGAACCCGTCTTTGAGCTTAGTTTGCTAAATCCTCAAAAGTTTATCTATTGATCTTTGTGACTCTTCTTTTTCTTTTATCATCACCGGTTCTTATATTTTTTTTATTTATTTTCCCCTGCTCTCCTCTATTTTTCGCTCATTCTTAGAGAGGTTTTCTATCTTTCGAGGTAGTTACCCTTCTGTGGCTTTTTCCAATGAATCATTGTAAGTGGTTCTGTCTCTTATTTTCCCGACATTCCTTATCCTGGCACCTGGCAAGATTTCCGTCAATTCCATGATGCGGTCTCAGCGGTCGACTGGGCTCGTGACCTCCCCCCAGTTGCGATTACTTCTGACAGGCAGCCGATCTACATCCGGGGGGGGGAGGGTGACGTTAAGATTCTCTTTTGTTTTTTTTCTACCTACACTTCAAGCTTCTATTTCGGTTACACAATTTCAGAATGCCCGATTTCCTTGAATTCGCATGACATCAAGGACTACTACTTCCTACTTCCTTGGCTGACAGGGAGTGAGATTGAACCCTTTCCTCCATGCTGGTCTGGCGGAAGCTAAATCTTCTTGTACCTTTTTGTCAATTACTATTAATCATTCCCATTCCTTTTTTCATATTCCTTTTAATTTCCTTTTCTTTTTCTTTTTCCTTCCTTTCCTTCTCCTTTTTTTTTTTTTTTTTTTTTTTTTTTTTTTTTTTTCCCGACTGGCCTGTCCGCCTGAATCCTACAGGGATACCCGCTGCAGCAAATCTGCTGACCTGGCAGAGATTTTTTTTTTTTTTTTTTTACTTTTTTACTTCTCAGTCTCACCCACTGCCTCCTCTCTCTCTCTCGCGCGCGCGCGCTTTCTAAGTTAGGGAGAGAGAGAGACCCATTGTGGTGGTGGTGGTGGTGGTATTTCTCTATGTCTTTCCTTCCCTATCTATTTCATCATGCTCTCCTCCAGTTTTCTACCTTCGTTAGCAACTATCCAAAGCTATCCTGCTAACTATGGGTTCAATGTCAGCAACCCTTTTGCAAAACTCGTTTCCACTGGATGGTCCCCTCAATACTGACGGAGACTACGCGGGGGCGCAACGGCCGTTTTCTGGATCGACAGCTTTCCCAATGGATGAAGAAGAAAATACCCGGAGAGGTGGCGCCGTTGGCCACCCTCTCGCGCAGCCTGTCTCAATACCTGCTACCAACGGTTTGCGATACAACACACAGCAGACTGCACTGCAGGATGTACCGTAAGTTCAGTTCTCTTTCAATCCAGGCTATCTTCGTGCTCCACTTGTCCCGCTTGCAGCCACTAGTTGCAGCATTTCCTTCTTGTCCAAACAGCCTGACTACCGAGTAGCTCGCTGTTCAACTCACCACCCTACCATCTCTCTGTGTTGCTGTCCTGCTGCTTCTGCCTCTTTAGATTAGTCCTTATTTTTTTTTCTATTTTATTTATTATTCTGGGTTGGATTTTCTTTCTTTCAACCTCTGAATACTTGTCCTATTATTATCTCATGTCCATTTTCCCGATTCCTTCTGATATTCCGTTTCGGCCTGCTATCCTTATTTCATCAAAGGTTTGGGTCTGGTAGCCTGTTGCTTGCAGAGTGCATTGACTTGTTGCTCCCTGGTCACATCCTTGGATCCTTCGCCTCGCTTCTGATACGCTTATACATGCCTTGCAATCATGATGCGTTGGAAGCCAATGAACTATACCTGGCCTTTCTGTTGTCCTATCTTATTTTGGCCCTCGTTGCCGCCATCCTCTCCAGACTTTTTGACACCTCCCTCACCGACACAGCATTATGACTAAATAGATTCACAGCTACGCAGCGTCTCCAACCATGATTATGAGCCCTACTGACTCGTGCTCTGGTTTGTCTCCATCTCGCCCTAGCCATCCGCTCTTTGTCTTCGGCTGTTTGAGCTCCTAGCTAATGAGTGGGGTTCCTAGCAGAGACCTTCTCTTCCACATCCAATTCTATCTACTCACATTCACCCGGCCTATCCTATGATAGAATTTCAGATTTTAGATCCCATCGAGTCCCTCCTGCGCTGTAAGTCTGTCTACTTACACGATGATTTGTTCTCAACATGGGTTGATTGATAAGAAAATTTTGGGATCCATTTAGTCAACCACCGGCCAACATGTCGCCCAGCGTACCATCGCAAGCCACTGCAGTTTCGGTGGGGAGATCCGACAATTATTCAGGCTATGCACTTCATCGCGGAACGTTCCCATCATTGTCTGCCCTACCCGAGATGGGCAGGATGGCTCCGTATACGACAACACCAAGAGCACTCGAAGGTCCTGTCGAGCGTTCTCTTTTCGGGCCGACGACAAATCTGCTGATTGATCCTGTTCAGCGCTTGGCGCAGCCCATGACAGATGCGCCTCCGTTTCATGAGACCAATGTCATTCACCCTATCATCTCGGGCAATCAAACGATCAGACCCGAGATACAGGCGAAAATTCACAAGGGATTTTTCCAAGTCGACGAAAAGTGGACCTGCTATCGCCGCAATTATTTCTCTGTCTCGTGTTCCTTCTCCTTATGCCCTATGCCTCACGGTCCCTTTTACCTCAAATTCTCTGAGCAATCAACGGCAGAGCGCATCTTGTCATTTTCTATGTCTATCTCGGCAATAGTAAATGCACAATGCGGGGAGCCTCGAGAGCTGGTTCAGCACACCCCGAAACGAGACAAGCAGTCGGAAAGAAAACCAGGGAAGATCGTGCTTCAACCGTGCCAACCTTCGCCATTAGCCCTGGGCCACGGTGGGGCATCCAGCAGCAGTCCTCACGGCTACTCACTCACACAGTCGGCCGGAATACCGATGGAGTATACTTCGACGTACGCTGGGGCCCCACAGCCGTCCCAGCCCCCGACACAACACACTTTTGAACGCATCCAATTTCAGAAAGCAACGGCAAACAATGGCAAGCGGCGGGCTCAACAGCAATACTACAATCTGGTAGTAGAGCTATATGCAGAAGTCTCCCATCCGGTGGGTGGAACTGAGACCCAATGGTTTAAGATAGCCCGCCGACTTTCTCATCCCATGGTCGTTCGTGGTCGTTCCCCAGGCCATTACAAAGACGGCCGACGCGATAGCTCAACGAGCATGGGCCCTGACGGGGGAAGTGGTGGCTCGGGCGACGGCACCGGAGGCGCTGTCCTACCCCCGGGAATAGGACAGGCTGCACGGTCTCACTTGACCTTAATGCCGTACGACTCTTCTCACCGTGGCGGTCCACATTATCCTCGAACAGATTACCATCAAATGACAGCGGCAGACCAGTCACCGCTCAGCGAAAGCCCGCATATATCTTCATCTTCGTCATCAGCGTTTGACCTGGGGCTCATTACGGAGACGATGGACCCTATGGATTCGATGAAAAGTACGACTAGTATAGATTCATATCAGGATCCTGGCTACAGTGTTCTGAATGGCCGAAAGCAAGGCAGCCAGTACCGCCACCTGCCGTCTTTTGACTACGACTCAATCACTAAAAGCAGCGACGAGACCGGCAACGGGTTCGCGGACACTTACGACCCTATGGTCTCGTTTGTTCCCAACGACCAGCATGAGTCGTCGCATTATCTAAAACAACCTTCTCGCATGGCTCCAAATCTCTTTCACCATTCCACGAGCAGTGGGTATGATCCTGTCTATTCAACGCGTGCCAGCGACGGCAGTCCTTACGGTCGCTTTTCAAATTCCCAGAGTCTGTGCGCTTAGCAGTTGGCGTTTCCGGCTTGACCCCGTCTTGCCCTTTCCGTTACGCTCCTTTTAGCTAATGAATCTTCCTCTAGTCCTGTGGACTGTGTTTCTCCTTGTCCCGCCTCCTACATCCCTTCTCTTCTATTCTCAGCCTTCTTCCATTGAAAGCTCACACACTATCACTATATCTCTGCGATTCAAGGCCTTGGGGGGATCAAACTTGACGGTTCATTCTGGCCCCCCTTCTGCCGTTCTTGTGTCCTTCCTTTTCTCAATCCTTCTTCTTGTCTCTTTCTTGTCTCTTTCTCTTTCCATGTGAATTTTTTGTGAACTATTTTTCCTGGTGGGAAAAAGAAAAGATTTTCGGATGCTTGGGATGGACTTTCCGAACAAAGCCTTCTATGTGTTCGATATAGACTGACAGCTTGAGTTCATTGACAGTTGACATGTAGGCAGAGCAAGCGAAATTGCATTGATTATTCGAGAGAGCTAACCTATGCGAGCCTTTTTTTTTTCTTTGTTGCGGAGCTCGCTTATTCTAGTTTGCTGATTCCGCCTCTAACCTAGCCCATTTGTTTCATTTCTTTTTGTTTCTGTACTTACCTGCGAGGAGTAGTAAGCCAGCAAGGGCCTGCCACCTCCCAGGGTAATAGATCAGGAAGACAGAATCCGTCCCGCGATAAGAAACCCCGATAATAGGGATAACAAACGCATGAAGTCTGAACAAATGCACGAGAAAACCCAAGAAACAGGGAAATGCAACCTTCGCAGCCCAATTATTGGCTCTGGCGGGGGTCAGAAATTCTCCGATATGTTGCCCTACTTAGGACTAATTGGAGGGTCGCCGCTGTCAGGCCAACCTAATGATGCATGTCAAACCGACATGGGGGAGGGGGGAGGGAGGGGAGATCGAGAGAGTACGGGAAAAAGCAAATAAAAAAAGAACAAAAAAGGACCGAATTGGATCCATACTCAAAGAAGCAAATGAACAAGCCTGATGGTGGTGGAGGCAATTGGAAAGTGGACATCTGGCTGGTATCCGTTTGTGATAGGAGCAGGGAGGGGGAGACGGATGTGCATCTTGGTTGAAAAGGCTGGAGTTGATCTCCCCCAGGCTCCATTTGCCATGCGCCGTTCCCCGATCAGTCCAATGGACACAAGATGACCAAGGAGGCGAAAAGGAGCGAGAAACAACAGCAATTGGAAATAGAAGGAGAAGGGAGGAGTCGGGAAGGGACAGAGTCAGCCGGGCTCAGTCAGCCCCAATGATGATTGATGATGAGGAAGATCGACAAAGACATCCTTCCATACCGCAAAATGTAAGTACTGTACCTAGTAGTAAATGTGTGTACTTTCCAAGTTACTTTGTGTACTCCGTACAATGAATGGTCGGCGGATGGCACGGTACCTGCCAAGTTTGACGGCCGGCCACCAGCAGCTGCTGCCCAGTGGAGGTGCTCACTGACTACGGAGTTACGGAGTAGGTACTAATTCTTAACTCTCTTTCAGTCAATCTCACCTCCTTTTCCTCTTCCAGTTCCCTGGCCCGCCATTCTCAGTCCTTTCCGTCTCTTCTTTGTTCTTCTTCCTTCTCGTTGTTTTGTTGTTGTGGTTGATGAGTGGAGAAAGTGGAGTACTGTACGATACAGTCATACAGTCAACGAACCACTAGTTAGTTTGCCCGGCTTCATCTTGGACCTCCTTTGCGGCTCAACGGGCTTGCTTGCACCACCCCCCCTCCCTCCTCTCACCCCCCATACCCTCCGATCTCGAGTCAGTACAGTACTGTACTTCCGATCCATTCTCGTCCATAACGTTTCAGTTCAGTCCAGTAGAATCCCGTCTCTCGGTCCTCAATTCACCGACCGATACGCGCGGTCCGGGATGCTTTTCCTTCTTCCCCAGCTGCGGATGACAAGACTGGAGCGACGTCAAAAAAGGAACATGCGACTAACGCGATGATCGCCCACCCGATGCGTTCCATGATCGACCGGACATACATTAGGCCGCTGATGGAATCGCGTTAGGAAACCCGCATCTTTCCCACTTTTTTTGCCTCTCTCGTAGAGGCTTAGCGCTCGCTCTCGCTCCCCCTCTTGATCCTAACACACGGTACGATGCAGCTTCCACGCTCAATAGTGGTCAGACAGATGGTTGTACTCCAGGTACAGTCAGTACATACATACACTACTCAATTCTATAGAGTGCTAGTTGGCTGCTGCCTCCACTAACTTACCGCTCTCGGCACGTTCCGGTGCCGTTCCAGACGATCTCATTTATGTACAGTACAGTACAAGCCTGCTGCTGTAGGCGGTCTGCAAATGCAGACATCCCCTCCACCACTCTTGGGATAGCTTTGCCTCTTGACTCCTTGAGGTTTCAGCATGTGGATCCGCAATCAGAAAGAGACTTTCTTGAATTATTCTTTCTCGAAATGGGCAATAAACAGAAAGTGCCAAAAAGGGAATACTCGATACCCTGCTCTGCTCTCTTGCCATCAACTTGTTTTCTAACCCACATACGTACATGCTCAAGCCCCGTTCTCTCATCTGATTTCAAAATTCGGGATACAGCAATCATTTCTAGAACCACATGCAGCTGGTCCAGCCTGCAGCAGTCGAGACATCATCAGAGATCACATTAGTCCGACCCGATTGTTTTCATTCCAATGGCTTGTCGATTCTAAACGGTGGCAAATGGGGGTGCCATGGCTACCGAAGCCAGACAGTCTCGGCGCAATAAAGCTTCCCTAGAATAGCCCACCAAGCACGTCGTACAAGGGAGTAGGGAGGAGGGAAAGGGTCCGACAGAAGACGATCGGCTCCGGGCCCCTTCTGTGAGCCACAAGAGGCCAGCCATGGATGAACAACGGTGAAGACGAGAATTTCCGCCTGCTTCTGGAAAACGCATCCAACATGAACCGCCGCGTTGCCTTCCGGCCACGACACCTTTCCGAAGCGTGGTGCGACTATCGCGTTGAATCCAATCCTTTCGCAGTTTCACCGCATCATCTCTGGTCCTTGAGCAAGGCATGAAGCCTATCGCCTTGCACAGTTCAACCAACGGTCAATGTGGCGGGCCACTGTTGCTTCGAATTTACCCGCCCACCACGAAAAAGGCGACAGGGACGCCTCGGTTCATTGATCGTCTAGCGCGGTTCATGTGGGAAATAGGAGCTTTCGGCGAATTGCATGCGACAACAACCCAGGAAACATCTGAAGCAAAAGGAATCCTTGTAACCTGTATGTCCGTTGATCCTGAGTCGTGGGTCTGGTTTTCAGCCTGGGCTTGTGTCGAATCCGAGACCATGGGCCACGGCCGGTTGAGATCCCTGGCAGGAAGAGAAACAGACCCATCATGCACACCCCTGTGTGTATGGGCTTCGCTTCGCGTCAACACTGACCTCGCGTTGACCAGTCTCATTGCGATGCTGGCGGGGCGGTTGAGTCCCGAAACTCCTGGACTCAGACTTCGGATGCTCACTTCCAGACATCTGGTGACTGCGTCCAAGACCAACCAGCTGTCTGGTTGAAAAGTTTTGATGCTCATTCTCGATTTAGTTGCTTTGCTTGCTCTCACTTAGGAAGTGTTGTAGTTCTTCTTTAAGCCCTGTTCCTATTCGAACCGACGGTACCATAGCGATATTCTCGATCACCTATATCAACATACGAATAATGGTTGTCCCCAACCCTTCATCCCAACACTGCATGCGTCAAGACTTCTGTTTCACGAAACGGTTTTCCCGGATGTTGTGTCCCATCAACAAACTTCTGACAAGGCTCGACACGCGACGAGAACCGAATGCCTCTGTCGAATGCCAGCTCAGTCAGTGCCCTGCACCGATATGCCGCCCAGTCTGCCATACCGCCCTCCCTCCTGGCTTCATTCCTCTCCAGCCCTCACTTCATGCCTTATCCGCCACCATGTCGACTCATTCCTTGAATTTGCCTCAAACATCCACTCCGCCTGCAAGAGCTGCAAGACGCTCATGTGACAGTGTTGCCAGTCCGCTCCCTCGCCAGGTAAATGACAAGTCTTGGCAGAAAAATTCGGGGTTCCCATCTCAGTAGACACTGCACACACAAAAGCAGTTCTCCCTGTGGGGGTTTGTTGGAAACCCATTATCCCCCTCGCCTTGCTCTGAATTCGGATGTAGCGTATAGCCTGGCGGTACGCGGAGAAACGGAACCCCCTTGATCAGGCCGCCAGGGCTCAGCCCAAGCTCCAGCCAACTCAGAAAGATAAAACCTCCATCTCTCTCTCTCTCTCTCTCCTTGGTATTACCCCCAAGTCGAACCGTAAGATCCAGTCAAATTCCTTAATCCCTCTCGATCCTCGAGACCCGAACCGACAGTTTCCGGTCCAACTCCTGCTGTTCCTCGGGCGTCGGGGTCAGGCCCATCGCCCCCTCCACCTGCGGCGTCACCCACAGGCCAATCGCCGACCACGCCATGGCGCCGACGCCGAAGAGGACTCGCGTCTTGGGGGAGAGGCTTTTGTATGAGCTAGAATGGATCAGACAATCTGTTAGTCTAGAGGTGGAAAGAAAAAAAAAAGGGTTGAATGGAAGGTAGGTAGGGTAAGGAAATAGTGTGCGTTTCTCCAGGAAGGAATGGCACGATCGTAATCGTAGTTTTGTTTCCAAAACCGAAACCGACAGGAAGAGTGAAAGAAAGGTAGCAGAACGAACCTCCAGAACGACATTGTGGCGCGGGATTTCCAGTAAGGAAAGCTAGCAAAGGCGAAAGAGCGAACAAATCCCTGCGCGGCAGTCAAGCTGGCCTTCCGTAGATGACAATCAATACACAGTGGATTACGGAGGCTTGATTCGAAGTGGGCAGGCAGGTAAGTAGTGTCTGCCGGCAGGAGGGTCTTTCCCTCTTTTGGAAGGCACTACGCTAGGCTTGATTCGGTTTAGTGTGATGATACCTATGGGGTTCGGCGGGATGTAGATATACTCGGTACTGTAGATAGATAGCAACGACGTCAACTACCGTATCCGTGTTCATTGCAGTTCGGGATCGAAATTTGGCTCCTGTGGGATTCTGAGTGGGTTCGGTATAGAGCCTAGTCTTTGTGCTGGGTTACTCTCTATGGGAAGAGAGGTTGGCTGGCGATTTGGTTGAAGTGTTAACATATGACGGAGCCTACAGAAGCGGTGCACCAGGCACAGTACAGTACATACAGCACTGATGCGGCGCGCGAGGTCTTGTTGCTTCGACGTCACTGGCTGGCCCATGCTATCAGTCTTTAGAAATGTGAATGAGCAAGAACCGAACTGTTCCATTTATCCAGTACCAGTAGCCTCGCCTACTTTTCCTGACCCTGAAAAAGACAAGCCGGAAATGAATGGTAGAGAGACAGAACCTGAAAGAACTTTGTAGGAAAGAGCAATGTGATACGCCGAGTACATGAGGAGGAGGGGAGGGGGTTATAATGACCATCACATATACACATATCACGTCGGAAAATCACAGATAAGATCATTCAATTAGAGCAAGCCAGATAGACAACATGCGATGGGGCGAGTGGCAATGCAGCATCACGACAACCAGCGCGGATATCCGTTTAGAGAAGTACACAAGGAAACAAAAAGAAGAAGAAAAAGGAAAGCACATAAGAAATGAAGTACAGAGAAAAATGGCTCATGGAATCTCTCTACTTCTTGCCATAGGCACGGTCGACATCAGCCTGGAAGCGATTCAGGATCTTTTTGCGTTGAAGTTTCTGAGCGGCAGTCATGTAGCCCTGGTCGAATCACAAAGAATGTTAGTTATACCGCATAAATGTACGGAAGTGTGTTCGCGTGTTTTGACTTACGTTCTGAGGGGTCCACTCCTCGTCGGAGAGAATGACTCCGTTGATGATCTCGATGCCCTTGAGACCACCGGCCCGGCCAGCAGCCTGAAGCTGCTTGAGGACAATCGACTTCAACTTCTCATTGTGTGCTAGAGTCTCCAGGTTGTCGCCCTCGATACCATTATCCTTGGCGATCTTCTTCAGAGCAGGCTCAAGGGGTACGATGATGGCGACCGGCTTGTCTTGGTCCTGTGCGGCGTAGACACAAATGTTACCCACCACAGGAGACGACCGATAGACAGACTCCAGCTTCTCCAAGGCAATGTACTCGCCGTTGAGAGTCTTGACCAAGTTCTTCTTGCGGTCAATGATCTTGATGTGACCGTATTTGTCGAACTCGCCGATATCGCCTGTCTTGAACCACCTGTCTTCGGTGAATGCTTCCTTCGTCTCTTCCTCGTTCTCCCAGTAGCAGCTGCTAACACTCGGTCCACGGATGTAGATCTCTCCCTGGGGCGGGTTGTTCTTGGCAAAATAGCCGGCATCGGGGAAGTCCACGAGTTTCATTTCGATCGAACCCGGAATTTCACCCAGAGCGTCCGGATTCCAGGCCAGAGGGTCGTTCAGGGCACCCATTGCCGACGTTTCGGTCAACCCGTAGCCGCTGATCATAGGAGCGATAGCCATGGACAGGAACTTCTGCGTATCTTTCGAGACGGGTCCACCGCCGTTCATCATGATGCGCAAGCGGCCACCGGTCGCCTCCTTGAGCTTGCGGAAAACGACAGCATCGAGGATTCCAGCACCCATGTCCACACCAGGGAAGCCAGCAGTCATGAGGAAGTTCTTGGCGGACATGGCGCCCCAGAACATGCCCCTGACAAGGAAGTTGTTCTTGTTCAGGTTGTTGAGAACACCCTTCTTGACCGACTCCCACACCGCCGGCACACCAACTAGAATCGTGGGCTTCAATTCGCGAATATCACCCTTGCAGTTGCGCATGGAGGCGTCCGAAAGTGTGCGAGGGTTTCCGTAGCCCATAGTGCCACCCCAGAACAGGCAGAGGTTCTCAAACATGAATTCGAGGATATGGGCTTGAGGAAGATATGTCAAAAGCGAATCAGAGGGTCCGATGTAGGGTCCGACAATCGCATGAATGCCCGCACCTATCCTATGGTCAGTTCTGCGGACATCAGGTAAGGAGCATAGCTAGATTTGCGGACTCACATGCGGAGACGACGTTAGCCTGGGTCAAAGAGACACCCTTGGGAGGTCCGGTTGAACCAGAAGTGTACATGATACAGCACAGATCTTCGCGACTGGGAGGCACCGGGTCCACGGGGTTCTCCTCGCCCAGCTTGCGCAACTCCTCGATGCTGATAACATTCAGATAATCGTACTCCGACTTGAGTTTGTCCAGGTCGTCCTTCTTGACTTCCTGATCGGTGTTGTAGATGACATGCTTGATTGACTTAACATCCTTGAGGACGTGAGCCACCGAAGGGATGAGGCCAGGGTCACAGAAGATAGCGAGACTGGACGTTTGGACCAGGGAGTGCTTCAAGCCTTCCTCGCCGAGGGTGTCATACGCAGTCACAACCGTCAGCGACTGGGATGCGGCACCTGTAACAGGACAATCCAATCAGTAAGTGGTCCATCAACAAGAAGACGTTCATGCGCACGAACCGTGTGACATGGCCAGCCAATGTGCACTGTCAAAACCGCCACGGTTAGCGTTTCCCCATCACTCGTATGATATCACCACCAGCACCGTTGAGTTACACACGTACCTTGTTGCGCCGTAGAGATGGATTTTATCCGGCTTCTCCAAGCCGAGTTTGCGCAAACCACTACCCAGCTCGAGCGCCAGCTTCTCGTACTCGTTGAAGGTCAGGAAGGTATAACCGCTCATCTCGAAGTACGTCCATTCCTTGTCGACCTCCTTTTCCACACCGTCCACGATCTTCTTCACCTTCTTCTTCTCCACGTGGGTCTTGACCAGGCGACGGGTGCCGACCGCCTTCGAGTTTCCGTACAGCCGCGCGGAGCGACGGAAGATCTCGTAGGTGGTGCTGGCATCTTCGGCCGGCCGCTCGAGGAGCCCATCTTTTGCGATAGGCAGTCGGCGAGGAATGGTCTCTCCTTCGACGGGTTCCACGCCGGGGACCTCCACCGAGAAAGGTGGCTTCTTGTACATGCGCGGTTGAATGCGCAGCTCCTTCAAGTTCGTCATGGCGACGGAGGGTTCAGCGCTCGGCGGATCAGACTGAATACAGGATCTGTTGACAGTGGTGGGAAATCTCCCGGTCAGCGACGAGGTGGAATTTGGGTTCGATTTGGGAGGTGGTTCAGAGGGAGGCAAACGCCATGAAAGAGGGGGAACCAGAGGAAGGCCGCGGATAGCACAAAGTCAAAGGTCGACTTACAGTAAGCAAGTTCCGCTATGGGTCGGTTCCACACCGAGAAAGCTTCAATTCCAAGAAGTTGCCGGTCTAAGGAGGAAAGGGAGGTAGATGGAAAATCAGATTTAGAGTCAGATTCGAAGATAAGAATGGAATGCAAACAGGAGTCTGGGGGGCAGAGGGCTGGAAATGGGGAGAGAAGGAGAGGGATAGAGAATGAATGGGAGTTGGAAATGAGATGGGGAAGGGAAAAGGGAAGGGAAAAGAAAGGTCGGATAGGTGAGTAGGTGAAGCTAGCTAGCTAAGTTACTACCTAGTACTTACCGCAGAGGTCTCCCGCACGGCCAGTTCTTGCTGGTGTCTGTCTCTCTTACTTAGTCCGGACAGTGCAGAATAATGAAGTCAGTTTATTGTGGCTGGGCGGGAACCCCCTCTTTCCTGGTCCTTATTCGCGGCTACTACTTGGGTATGACGGAACCCGACGGAGCGAGTAGTTGGAATGGGGGTTCGGCAAAAAGAATTGGAAGGACAGAAAATTGGGATTGCCCCCATGGTACTCTCATTGTTATCATTTCCTGTCTCTAAGAGAAAAGCACAAACAGCTTTTTCTGTCGCCATGGCTCTCTCAGTCGTTTACGAGATCTCTTTTGGAACCGAGCAAATCATTCGACGCCACGGAAGAGCAAAAGAGAAAAAGAGAGTCAGGAGCTCTGAGCATGGGCATGAGCATGGGTCGGAAAGTGCACGAGGTGCTACAACAGTCGTTAGGTACAGTACGGTCGCTAACTCAACTTGCAGGGCACAGACTGTATGTACATGTACAGTACCTAGTACATCTCTAGGCAGGATTGAAGGATTGCCGCGGTCCAGAGACTCCATCCAGCAGTCCAGCCAGACTGTCAACAGTTCCAGGATACGAACTATGGAGTCATCCGCATATAACGGCGGATATTATGACCTACAATGACGCCCCCATCGTCATTAAAGATCTGACAGGAAAGTCATCGAGCAATTTTTACCGACAGGGCCCAGGACCTGATCGTCGCCCGCCCTTCGCACCTCTTGGGCTTCAGATCGCCAGTGCAAGTTCTAGCTTGGCACTGAGTGTTTAAGGATCACTCTACTCACATGTCACCAGAGAGACATCTCGCGTGGGCCGAAGAATAGAATTCAATCACTGACAGGACAGGGAAAAAGGCAGCTTTAGTTTTCAGGGGATACTTGTGTAACTGGACGAGCATTAGTGCTGACGCCCACGGCCCGTCGGCTATCGTTGACTGTTGGTCACGGGGAGGGTAGGCTAAAGAGCAATGCCATGCCTTGGGCTTATGTATAACTTACGTAATTATCCTCCGCGATGCTCCCCCCGCTATCTGCAAAACTTCATCCTTCGGGAGATGCCGAGGAATCACCGATATCAAGTGAAACACGCTCGTGCAGATCGGTTGCTGATTATTGCCAAATCGACAGTGCGAGATACCCTACCTCTCATCTCTGATTCCTGCTCGAAAAAAGCAAAGCTAATTGAGCCCCGTTTCTCTATCCAGAGTGGTCCTCCTGTCTGGTCCGTCGCACCGCCGATCTCCGAGTATTCTAGCCATTGGCGCAATTCATACTATAGTCCACCATTCTGTACCTCCTATTGTTAGGTAGGATAAAACCCACGAACCAATGGAACAGATCACCAGCTTCCTGTCGTTGCTCGGAGAAGAGGTAGAAGATGCCGAAGAGGGTATGTCTCGAACAATCCATTTGCTTCGATATCAGCCAGTATATGCGTGCCGTATGCAACATAGAAGAGAAACAACCTTTATAGATCACCAACGCTGCAGTCATACCATGTGAAGAGGGGAGAGGCCGAGGGAGATCCAAATCGCTACACATCTGTCTGCATGCACATAGCCAATCTAGCCAGCGTTCTCACCGTCTACCCCAGCGCCAGCTCTATTATAGAACCTTATTAATTGATCCAACCGACTATGCCCTACAGAAGCCTTCTACCTTTTCGCACAAGACATCCCATCCTCAAATCTAGGCTTCGTCGACTCGCGGGCCACCACCGTCGATCTCACAATCAACAACCAGGACTACGCCATTCATCAATCGCCCACGTTACTCTCCTCGACCCGTGCAGGGGGCACAACAGGCGCAGGTTCGTCCATCAAGCCGAATCTCTTACCGCATACTTCGTGCTGACATGGATTCATCATCAAGTCCTCTGGAAAATCACCCCGCTCTTCTCCGAATGGCTCTCCTCCCGGACCAACCCCCTCTGGACCCAATCCCTCCTCTCGTCCACCTCCACCGTCGTCGAGCTCGGCTGCGGCATCTCCGGGCTGAATGCCCTCACCCTCGCGCCGAAGGTCCACCACTACATCGCGACAGACCAAGAATACGTCCACCGACTCTTCCGTCAAAACATCGAGACCAACTACCAGCCCTCGACCTCGAGCTCGACCCGATCCTCCAAGTCTCGTAAGCAGCAGCAACCACAACAACAGCCCAAACGCAGCAAACCCAAGCAGCAGCAGCAGCAGCAGCAGCAACAATCGACATCATCACCAAACATCACCTTCATCTCGTTGGACTGGGAACTCGACGTCGCGGGTTCGCTAAAAGCCAGTGTCGGCCTAGAGGACCCTGACATTGGCGACGGCAACGAGGAGGAGGAAGAAGAGGTAGATCGGGGGTTCGATCTCCTGGTATCCTGCGACTGTATCTACAACGATGCGCTGGTGGCGCCGTTCGTGCGCACGTGCGCCGATATCAGTCGGTTGAGGCCAGTCTATACCGCAGATAGTCACGGTGCGGGGAGGAGGGGGAGCAGAAGGCCGACGATCTGCCTCATCGCGCAGCAGCAGCGGTCGCCGGAGGTGTTTGAGGCTTGGTTGCAGGAGACGCTGAGGGTGTTTCGCGTCTGGCGGGTCAGTGATGATGTGCTTGGAGAGTCGTTGAGGTCCGGGACGGGGTATTTGGTGCATCTGCTACTTCTCCGGTAATTGGGAGCTGGTGGTCAGGCTGGGCCGGGGGGGGGGATCAAAGGGTACAGTCGGGTCGGGTTCAGACGGGTTTGGAAGATTCAATGGTTTGATAGCATGCGTGTCCTACTTCTTCCGAATTGATTCATCTTTCGACAATGACCGATCGCGTGTATATGTGTCAAAGCCTACGCGACGCAGCATAAGAATCAAGAAACTCACATTCACTAGTGACTCTTTTGGATGGTGATATTGATATCGGGAAAGCACGAACGCAGTAACCGTGCGCTATGGAACGGAAAATCCCGTTGCTCTTTGAGATGTAGCACAATACAAAGCTATTCAGAAGCATTCAGTATGTGCACGTGATCGGAATACGAAAGACAAGAAGGTAAGCTCAGATCAATTGAGACCCTCGGGGCCAGCCATATGAGGTAAGACATTATTACATTAAGTAAGAAAACAACATGCAGAAGGCCACCCACATATACAAAGGAGGGAGGGTATGTGACGCAGAATCCCTCGTGGAATGATGGAGACGGCAGTCAACCACCACCGGAAACATGCTCAAAACTATGCAAAGGCAATGATGCGAACATCTTGCGTCTTCAACAGATACCGCAATGCAACGATGATTAGTAAAATTATAAGACTGCTATTACTGTGTATCGGCCGTTTCTTTGGGGTCAGTGTTCTCTTTCTCATGCTCACGTGGACGAGGAAACTCGGCCTCGTCCTTGAAGGGGTGTTTATGGTCCGGGGAGGTTTGCATTGGAATCTCCATCGGACGAGGTGGATTCGTATCTAACCGCTCGCGGGGATCGCTCTCTGGGTCGCGGTCGATGATAGATGAGATGGATTGTTTCGTCGAGCCGTTGAAGCGGGCTTGTAATTGATGTTGATTGGGGACCGGGGGCATCGTCATCACTGGAGGTGCAGGCAATGTCCTATCCGTGGACTCGGTCTTCACCGGGACGTCATGGCTTTCCTCTTCATCCGACGCAGAAGAATACTCAATGTCTTGTTGGTATCCTTCGTGGTCTGTGGGGCCGGACTCAAGCCGGCTCTCTTCCGTGGACGCGCGGTTGACATTTGCCACTGGGGGAAGAGGGGCGTTGGGGTCATAAACAAGTCCGCATACCTCCAATGCCCGGGATTGACTGCCCAGGCTGCGGTCCTTGTGTTTCTTCGTTAAATGGCACATGAACCCATGGAGAGTCACGAAGTCGGCCTTCCCACAGCCGGATACCGGGCAAGTTAAATAGACCAGACTACCGTCTGAGGGACGCTTCCAGAGGGCCCTGCCAGAGGGATCATGCGCGGCGGGGCGCCCATGTCGCTCTCCCCAGGCTTCAACATTCTTAATAGTATACTTCTGCTTCCGTCGGATCGAGGTAGCGCCGCTGGGGTCATGGTGAATGTGCTGAGGTTGAGGTGGAGGTGGCGGAACGTGCGGTGCAGGTGCTTGTGTCGGCGGTGGAGGGATGGGACGTGGCTCCGGAGGGCTTTGTTGCTTGAAGAATGCAAGGGTAGTGGCTGCATTGGTCTCCGACAACCGACGAGGCGGCGTTGGTCGAAGCGGCGGGGAGTCCATCCCAGCATTATACCCGAGGCCCATTGATTCTCTTTTCAAGCGCTTTCGTTGCCTACGCAGGTCCTATTCCGTAGGCACATGCGAAACATGTCAGATGATGTTGTTTGTAGAAGAATAATAAAGACACAATTTCACTTCTTTCTGCTGTTGTTCTTAACCATACCTCTTCTTCTGCTTCGGCATTCTCCGTCAACCTACGAAAGTCCTCGTCCTCTCGCTTGCGCATGGCGAGAAGATGGCTACGAGCCGCCATACGAGCCGCTTCTTCATGCTCCAATTGTCTCAGGCGAGCTTCAATCTGGTCAATATGCGGATGATGAGCAGGCGGTGCTGGAGCGGAAACCGGAGCTGGCGGGCCTGGTTCCTGCATAGGGGGAGGCGGCGGTGGTGGTGGAAAAGGACGAAATTGGTGGTGACCGTGCATCAAATGCTCCGGGGGAATTGCTTGGCCCGGATTCATTGCGATTGGGTGGAAACGTGGGAGGCTCATAGCATTGACATGATGCCCGAGTCCGCCGTTGATCCCATTCTCGTGCACTGGTGCCACGGGAGGCGCTGCAACTGTCATGGTGGAGGACTGGATGCTCAGTCAGAAGATTAGTTATTTGCAATCACTCGTTGCTGGCATGCACATGCAAAAGTTTGCTGGGGAAGTTTGATGCAGCCGTGAAAGAGATGCGCGCTTCGGTGAACGCAAACGACAGTTGACACGGTCTCAGAAGTATATCCAAGGAGGGTTATCTCATTGAAGGATGGGGAATACGTGACCCGACCCAGGTAGGAGGCCGACAAGGGTGGTGGAAGGGAGGTGTAAGAGGGACCAGAGAG